CGGGGGCTACAGGCCACGAATCCGGCAGGGAGCTGTCCGCTCGGGTCGGCCTTTGGAAGAAGCAGCCGGCTTCGTGCCCTTCTCCCCTCACCCCCTCCCTTTGCTGGGCCGAAAGCTTTGCGGGACTTCACGCGGAGCTGGGAAAGCGAGAGTAACGAATTCCTGCAAGTAAATTCCTCTCCAGAGTAAACCAGGATGTAACTTGATGGCATGGCGATGGAAAGCCCCCGTGCTTTCTCTCAGATGTATCTATATGTGAGGGAAAAGCCCTGAGCAGAAAGAGGCAGGACAGGCGTCTCTCTCGGGGTCGCTGCGTTAGGACGTTGCAGCAAAACTATTTAGGCATCTTGTGGGGACCCGAAAGGCTGCCAAACTCACTGGAGGCTGATCTTTCGTGAACTGTGGTCCAGGTCATCAGGAACGCAAAAATGTTAATCCAATTCTTGGAATATATAGAGGCTCAAGAGGTGGGAATGTACGGAGAAATGAAATGCAGAAACTACTGACTGGAACAACCGTATTATTTAACGTGGCGAGCCGCCAAGCTGCCTGTGAGTCACACGCACCTGGGGGGGAGGGAGGCGGGGGGGGGAGATCGCTGCCAGCGCCCCTAGCGGCCCCTTGGAGGACCGTACTGAAGGGACTCTTGCGCGGGGGAGGGGGGGGCTGAGTGACTGAAGCTCCGTCCCCTCCTTTTCCCATCCTTTTCGGTGCTTCCTCCAAGGAGGAGAGCCGCAAACTACTCCACCCCTCTTGCCTTGTCCGTCTGGGCTGCAACACAGAGGCTGCATCCAAAGGGGCACCAAGCAGGCGATTGGGGGAGGGGGGAGGGTGGCCCACTGCTCACCAAGAGTCCCGCAAAGCCTGGCGCCTGCGAGTCCCACTACTCAGGTGGATGCAAGGTTTGCTCTTAGGCCACCTGGAGGTACCCCTTATTTGCCAGTCCCGCAGCTGCAGGAATAGATCTTAACATGGGGCCGCTGCTTGTCTGAAGGGCTTCCCCTCATCGTCCTCTACCTGTGCCAGCAGGTTCCCTACCTGCCCAGTCAAGCGCTCGCGGCACAAGGTAATAGGTGACTAAACAGGTGCATTCCATAGTGTCATCGAAGCTACCCATATGAATCTGACCAAACTCCGGGAGGCAGTGGAAGACAGGAGGGCCTGGTGCGATCTGGTCCATGGGGTCACGAAGAGTCGGACACGACTGAACGACTAAACAACAACAAAAACAGGTGCATTCCACCCTCCTTTCCGCCGAGGCCAAACTGCTCTTTAAAAGGATTCCCAAAGCCACGGTCACGTCCTGGGCAGGCTCAACCCTGCGCCAGCATGAGGACGTTACTGCGGCACCTGGTACTGTCTTCACATCTCTTTCTCACCCTCGAACAGCTTGAATCTGCGAGACGGGAAGCAGGGTGGTTTTTACAGCTCAGATTTCTCTGCTTTATCAGAGATGGAAAGGCCGAAAGGGTTGGTCTGCAATGGGGTGGGGTGGGCGCTGCGGCTCTCCCTCTGCTGTCCGGTTCTGTAGCACCAGCATCCGCCCCCAAGGGGGGGACCTTAACTCCATCCTGTACATGGCTTTAGAGCAGCATCAAGGGAAAGCCCCCCCCCCCGAAGTAGTTATTTCTTCCCATCCTCAGTAACCAGGATGGAGAAGACAGCAGGCGTTTGCATGGGCTTATGTTGGGAGAGGCATGTTACTCTGTGGGCTTTATACTGGTCTCTGTCTTCTCTGTCTGTGGAACTCCTTACCACAGGATGTGGTGATGGCATCTGGCCTAGATGCCTTTCAATGGGGATTGGACAGATTTCTGGAGGAAAAGGCCCATCGCAGGCTACAAGCCATGATGGGGATGCATCATGTCCAGGCTTTTAAAAGAAAGGTACTTCCAAATGACAGAGGCAGGGGAGGGGTATCAGGAGACAGGTCTCTAGCGGTCTCTCCTGTGCTCCCAGAGGCATCTGGTGGGGGCCACTGGGAGATACAGAGAGCTGGCCGAAAGGGTCCCTGGGCCTGGTCTAGCGCAGGGCTCCTCTTCTTAGGTTCTTCGGTTCCTTCCAAAGATCCTGGTCTCCTCTCCAGGCCCTCCTCGTGGAGCCTCCAGTGAATTGACCTGAAAGCTGCCCTGCTCCAGGGTGACTTATTTCCAGCCTTTTCCCAGGGAAAGGGGAAGCCCAAGCACCTGGGCTAAATCCCCTGCGCACCCCACTCGCACTCGCCCCCAAATGAGAGGGGGGGCAGGAGGGAAAACCCCGCCCTCCCCCCCCACCCCTCGCGCCTGCTTTCTCTCAGCTTCCTCCCTCCTTTTCCTTTCCAAAACCGAAGCTATTGAGGGAGATGAGCTGACAGGACCTCGGCGGCTCTGGGACTCCGGAGCGCTTGGGGCCGCGCCCTCTTCCGACGGGAGCCTCTTCGGGGCAGAGCCGGCTGGAGGAGCTGCGACCTCGGTGGCCAGCAGGCCAGGGGAGCCAAGCCGCGCCCCGGGCCCTGGGGCGACCTTCTTCTTCCGGCACCGCTTCAGGCCCTTCCCCAGAAACCGCCAGGACAGGGCCCCTCCGGGAGCGGACGGTCCCTCTTCCAGGCCATGCCGGGCTGCTCCTTGGAGACTCGGGGCTGGCGCTGAAGGTGCGGCCGGCCGGGGAGCGCCCCGCAGCCGCCCCGCAGCCTTCCCCGGCGCCCCAGCCCACAAAGAAGAGCCCGCTTCGGCTCGGCGTATTTGGGGTGATCCTTGAATCCATATGTAAGAATTGCCTGGCTTTGGGACAGGAGACCACACTGCATTGCAAAGCAACCCCATTTAACCCCCTTCCTGTCTTCACCTCCATGGGGAACAAGGAAGAGTTGCAATTTTTAAAACATTTATAGGTAAGTGACATGCTAGTGAATTAGCTTCCTGGACTCTAGAGGGAAAAGATGATGTAGAACTAATATCTAAGGGGGAAAAACAAGAAAAAGGCATCTCTTTTTTGGAAAACAGTAGATCGAGCAGACACATCCAGTGCTCCGCCTTGCCTGATGAGACTCAATTTCTTTCAGCCTGTGATGCCAGATATGGTGGACAAAGCACTTGACCGCTATCATGCCACCACCTCCTCCCTTGACCCTTGCCTGGCCTGGCTAATCAAAGCAGCCAGGCCTATAACAACCGAATGGGCTACAGCAATAATTAATGTTTCCTCAAGGAAACACTCATTAGGCCCATATGGCCTAATGGAACAACTTGCCCCTAGAGATCTGCCTGGCTCCCTCTCTGGGTGTCTTTAGAAGTAAACTAAAGACATGGCTATTTAGGCAGGCTTTCCCTCCTGCTGTAATTTAATATCTTGGCTTCTGCCCAGCCGGTGCAACGGCGTGGCGACTGAGGGCCAGGAGGAGACCGGGAGGATTTCCCGAAAGCGCGAGGGGTTCCCCTTGTCTCGAGTCTTTCCCTGCTCCCGGCGTTGCTCGTGTCCCGGTTCTCCCTTCACAGCGCCTTTCCTCCTGGTTTTGCCCCCTTAGATTCAAAGCAGGGTCCTGATCCTGATGGTGTGCGCCGCTGGCATCGGAGGCACTTTCCAGTATGGATACAACCTCACCATCATCAATGCCCCCACAGCAGTAAGTCATTTCTTGCTCTCTCCCGCAAAGGCTGGGCACTCTTGCATTTAGGGGGGTGGGGGGCTGTTCTAAAAGTGGCCTGTGATCCGCAGACCGGCTCCTCCCGTTACGGTCTCCCTCCCGCCGCCCTTCAGCTTTTGTGTCCGGTTCCCAGACTTTTCCACTTCTGCATTCTCACCAGCCTCCAGGCCACCCGCGGGGAGACACCCCTGCTTTTCCCCCTGGACAACAGCCTTGTGGGGCAGGCTGGTCCACGAGAAAGTGACTGGCCTGGGGCTATCCCGTGACCTTCATGGACCGCGATGAGGAGTTTCCGGGCATCTCTAGTCTGTTTGCCACATTGGAAAACTGTGCCAGGGCACCTCTCTGGACTCTGCTGGCCAGCCAGCCGGCCGGCCGGCCTGCCTTCCTTCACAGGGTGACCCCTGTCTTGGTCTCTTGCAGTTTATCCAAGAGTTTGTGAACGAGACCTGGCTGGAGCGCACCGGCACCCCCTTGAGCACACCGGCGGTGACCCTCATTTGGTCTTTCATCGTCTCTCTTTTTCCTTTGGGGGGGCTCACGGGAGCCCTCCTGGCTGGGCCCATGGCGATTAGACTGGGAAGGTGAGGAGGAGATCCCACTGGATTTCCAATCCTAGTTTCACCAATTTAGACTTTCGAGCAACTGTTTGAAGTTGTTGGCATTTGCAGCCCAGAAACCTGTGGAGAACGGAGCCATCAGCAGGCCTGTCAGGACTCAGGCGGCTTGTTCTAGGACTCCGATGGGGCACCTCCCGCATGGGTGTAGTGGATCTCCACAACTCCGGTAGTTCCAATGGCTCAGCACTTGCTTCGCCACCCATTTTTGTCCCTTTTCATGAAAGCACAAAACACCAGCAGGGCAGAACACCAGACAAGAGTGGCAATTTCTCTGGGAGTGGCCAGTAGTGGTCGTGATGGTGTTCCGTGCGGTGGTGAGTGGCCGGGAGGGTGCCTCTGGCCTCTGTGCCGTGCCAGGCGGAGTGCTGCTAAGAGCTACCTGTGGAGGCGCAAAGGCATGGATGCAACGCAGCCCCCCCCCTTGCATCTGAGGTGGGCAAACAAAGTCTCCTCTGTTTCTCTTGACAAAGGAAGAAGTCCTTGCTGCTGAACAACCTGTTTGTGGCCCTTGCTGCTCTGCTGGTGGGCTTCAGCTGGATGGCAAAATCCTTTGAAATGATCTTGCTGAGCAGATTCTTTGCAGGAATCAATGCGGGTAGGTTAGAAAGCTGCCTGGCTGGCCGTCCGTCTCCCCTTTGAAATCAGGAGGGCAGGTGTCAGCCTTGCAGATCGGCTCTGCCCTGGGCAGCTGATGAGGAGCAAGAGAGTCAGCATAAGCCTCAGCTATCAGTGGATCCGTGCAAACAGGAACTCTCTTCCCCAACCCTAACCTCAGGCAGGATTTTATCAAAACTTGTAGGATGTCAGGGATCTGTTAGTAAGGCTTGCTTTTTCAGTCACAGTCTCCATTACACGAGATACCCCCCTCTTTCCACTACAGGTACTTCCTCCCCCCCCCAAAAAAAGTAACCATAACTGTGGGGGTAGAGGGGGTGGCATAGCCAAGTGGCAACCAAATTGTGGAAGGATTATCTTACCTGGTCAGACTGAGAGTCCGGTTATCAGGCCGTCTCCAATGGGGGTCATCTAAATGCGGCCCCTCCAGTTCCTCAGCAGCTCTGAAAGGTTGTGGCCTGCTGTGTTTATCCCTGGTGGTTCCTACTTCTGTGTGTGTTGTGGCTAGTGTGGTTAATGTGGCTGTCTTCATGCTCCCATACACTCATTTGTCTGCATTGACCCAAAGGGAAAGATGAGAAGAAACGGGGGGGGGGGGACCCCAAGTATAGACAGAGATCAGGGCCCTGAGGAAATGGGTGAGGATTCATCAGGGCTGTCCCTCTCAGAAATGGCTGCTGGGCTTGGCTAGGAAAGGTGGGTCAGCGCCTGGGCCAGAGCCCCTCTCTAGGGCCATGGGGTGTGTGTGTGTGTCCTCAGCAGCAGCAGCAGCAGCAGCAGCAGCCCTTCTCTGTCCAGGGGTGAGCATGAGTGTTCAGCCCATGTACTTGGGAGAGAGTGCACCCAAGCGACTCCGGGGGGCTGTGGCCTTGACGTCGGCATCCTTCACCGCTCTGGGGCTGGTGCTGGGACAGGTGGTGGGACTGAGGTAAGACCCATGGTTGCAGCAGTTGCCACTGCCTGGGAGGCTGGTCGGCAACGTTGCTTTCTCCCCCTTTTCCCCACCATTGCTGAAATTTGGACAAAGCCCAAATGTCATTCAGAACGTGTTTGGCCAGCTGAGCGCAGGCAGATGCAAGCCCCAGGGACAAGCCTTTCTGCCCAGGCCCAGCAGGCACTTAGAGTGCCAGGAGACCAGCCCCTGCAGGCACTTTCTAAGCCTGCAGGTAGGAAGGAAGAGGCCAAGTGTTCCCAGATGGAAAGGCACCAGGACCGACCTCACCTGCTCCGACAGGTGGCCTAGTGATAATCTGAAAGGGATACACTGTTCTTTCAGGGACATACGTTGCCATCTTCTCCGCCTGGGTGCTCTCCCTGGGGCTTCCCTTTTCCCATTGCTCAAACTCTGTCATTTCTGATGCAGAGAAATACTAGGGGCAGAGGAGAGTTGGCCCCTTCTCTTGGCCAGCAATGTGGTGCCAGGCCTGATCCAGCTGGTGCTTCTGCCTTGGGCCCCCGAAAGCCCCCGGTACTTACTGATGGACCGAGGTGACGAGGAATCCTGCTTCCAGGGTGAGTGTGCGCTCCTGAAGGAAATAACAATATCACTTAGAAAGACAGCCAAAGGGATGTTTTCCTTTATAGTATATTGTGGAAAAGGGATTTGAAAGAAATGCAAACTGAAAAACCTCATTTCCTGGCCCTTTGTGTGTGTTTCCTATACAGTATCGCTAAGTACACATCTTTGGTTCTTTGGACCCTCCTTACCTGTGTGGTTGCCTCTCTGTATTTGACTGTCGCTCCAGCTAGCTGGAAAGAGAGCTCACGGGGGATTGCGAGGAAGAGGCTGGGCACGGGTTGGCATTTGACCGGTCTGTGAGTGCAGGCGGTAAGGCTTGACCTCTGCCCTCTCGCAGCCTTGCAGAAGCTACGGGGCAGCAGCCAGGACTTGAGTGGCGAGATGAAGGAGCTGCTGGCTGAGCAGGTGGCCATCCGGGGGAAGGTGGCGGCGTCCCCCTGGACACTTGTGCGGAACCCGGCAGTGAGGTGGCAACTGGTCTCCGTGGTGGTGCTCAGCAGTGCCATGCAGCTCTGTGGCAATGACTCGGTAGGTGCCGGCACGGAACCCAGGCCGGGCGGGGGGCTTGGGGCAAGGCACGTTGTTGTCGCTGGTACGGTAGTGGCCACTGTCCAAGGGAGGAATGCCAAGAGGTGTGACCGGTTGCTGGGGAACGGGTGGTGGTGGTGGTGGTGGTGGTGGAGGGAGGGGGAAGGGAGGTTTGGCAAGTCTTGACCTGCACAGCCATTCGAAGCAGCCTGCGAGACGGAGCAGGAGGAGCAGGAAGAGATGGGTGGATTCTCTCCCTTGGGCGAAGGACAAGCTGGTCTGGGCCCCACCATCACTTGTGGAGGGTGGGCTCCCACTCTTGTCCTTCCGGTTGCTGGGTGTGCCTGCATCTTCCCACAGTGTCCTCACTTGACACTAGCAGGCTCCGCTTCAGTCCGGAGCATGTGAGGCATGTATTGTAGGTAGCACAGCGGCCGACCTGGCATTCATCCTGGCTCTGCCTTTGTGGTGGGAAAACCCTGCCCAAGGCTGTCGGTTGTTATCTGTTTCAGTGACGTGCAAGCCTTCCTGGCAGAGAAGCAGCAGCTCCCAGCGGGCGGGCGGGGTGACCTCTCGTCCTGCCTTTCTGCTTAGAGTGAGAGAATTAGATCAAAGGTTTCTCTGGCCAATCCTAGTGGTGACTAGGTAACTAGTGTCCTATCTGAATTCTCTCAACATTCTGTGTAATCCTGCTAAGTTAATAAAAAGGATTCTCAAGGCGGTTTTTGAGGCTCCCCTGGTCGGGACATCTCTGGTCTGGTCGACTTCTTTGTTTTTTCTCTAAAGCTATTTGCCTTCCTATTGTTCCGTGATCACCCACATCATCAGCCTTCCTTTGATGCATGATCACCTACACTTTGTGCCTTCAGATGTACTTCTATGCTTCTTTCATCTTCCAAGAGGCTGGGATCCCACTGGACAAAATCCAGTACTGCATCATCGGCACAGGGAGCTGCGAGCTGGTGACGGCCCTGACCTGCGTAAGCATCCCGCCTGCCCCCCCCCGCGCCACTTCCCCAGCTGCTGTCTGAGTGGTGGTGGGCAGGCTCTTTCCTAGGCAGGCAGGGCACCCCTGGGCGAGGGTGCGGGTGGGGACCCTTGGTGTCCATGAACTCCAGAGCTGCCTTCCTCCCTCTGCAGCGGAGGGCGGAGGCGGCTGTTTCCGATGCATTGACTCTACATTAAAGAGGGCCCTTCCTTCCCACCGCTATCAGGTTGTTAACTGATAGGGACCATTTCTCTGCATGGAGGGTGGGGGGTTTGCCTGCTTCCAGCTACTGTTGGAGGGAAGCTTTAGCTGCAGCCCGCCTGCTGGAGCCCAGCAAGTCAGCGTCTTCTCCCTCCCTCCTTTGCTTCCCACCCCCACCCCAGAACCTCCTCGTAGACCGCACTGGGCGACGGGTGCTGATCATCGGGGGCTACAGTCGCCTGGCG